GATATGTTCTGTTCCCAACCATGTATAGGGCCAACCTGCTTCTGCAACTTCGCCAAGCGTTGTAACCCGTCAGAACACAGTGAGATCCACATTGATTGGAGTAAACAGCATGAGTAGTTTTAGGCTACATGAATAGTTAGATTTTCGACTCTTCTACATCACGCTTTCTTCATCAAACTGCGCTAGTAGGTACGAACCGATTTTTAATCCAAAGTATGATTCAAATTGAGGCTTGGATTAATGTGGAATATCACGTGTTGACTGAGGGGGCAGATTCTTCTTTAACCTTTGCTGTTGCCATCACAGCTCGCGATTAATGTCACCACTTCTGCACAGTTTATGGTCATTATAGTCTTGCCTATTTACGATTTTCTTGCAAGCTGTGCCTTTCCATTATGCTTTATACATATCTCGCGTTGATGCTATTATATGGGATAACTGCTGAGCTGATTGACATGAGCGAACTATTTTCAGTAAATGGGTCGTGACACTGGAACCATTTGATGAATTTCTTTTTGATCCCACCGTATCAGTGGAGTTTATATTGTCAACTTGCTGATAATATGTTGAAGAGGTGATCCCACAATATACCTTAACTTGATGGGTAGCATTCACTGCGATGGGCCTGCCAGCGAACCATCGGGCTAGGTCCACATCATTGATTCCCCTATCTCGGAAAAAGCTCTCCACAGTAAGATGTTGTCCTCATGAGCACTTACTTGTTCATAGACCATGCTGTACGATCCATGACGTCACACTAGTGGATAGATTCACTGCCATATCCCCTATGTTTTTGGTAATTAGGCTGGTTGTTTGCCAGATTTCAATGGTAAGATTTTAAACTTGACAAGCATCTGATCTAGTGTTAACAATCAATAGCGGTTAAATGGTGAAGCCGATCTTAATGAATTGGAAAACATTCTACGCAGACGTTTATGCTCTTTAAGCTAACTACAGGAACATTTTTTTCTATAGCATGCGTTAGAAGATGTAAGCCAAAAACTGAAAGATGAATACAGGGATAGATCGTATATAATGGGTGGTTGGGATGAATCCTAGAATTTTCGGAAACTCAGACAACAATATTAGACTTAAAATTACATAGGGGGTCTTACTCTCATCACACCTTATTAGATAAACCTCTAGATGACCATCATGGAATAAACCACTATAATAACATAACACAATAATTCATAATCCATTCAAGGACAGGATCTATGTTGTTACCAATTTTATTAAAATTTCCCAACTTTAACTTTAATACTTTTTTTCAATGAAATGGCGTCCATACAAAGTACGTAACAATCAATTGCCGTTATTGATTAATAAAAAAAAAAACATTATACGCAGAATTTTGTGTTTTCCAAACTAACTACAGGTGCATTTTTGTATAGCATGCGTCGTTTAGGAGTTTGGGAGTTTTAAGCCGAAAACTGGTCAAATAATCAACCTTTTGGCCATGTTGATGAAAATATTCCAACTTTGAAAAGCTACAGCGGCTAAACGGCTCGGCCGATTTTGACGTATTTAACATCAATCGACGCGGAATTCAATGCACTAAAAGACACCTTTGAACAACATTTTCCTTAGGATTCGTTATTTAGGAGTTATAAGCGAAAAACTGAAAAACGTGCAAAATTTTCATAGTTTTTCGACTCCCAAAACTTAAGCAGACGTCAGAATCCGTCGCAAACTCACAGGAGTCTTATTTGGGACCCCCGAAAGGTATTAAAACACTTTCCAGCTTTAGACGATTTTTTGGGGAGCACACCCTATATTTGATCTAATTTGCCTGGACTACTAGTTGGATAAGAGTATTAAACTTGCTACTCACCACTTTAGTTGTAAACATTTACTATTTAGCTGTGTAAATTCGATTACCCAACATCACTACTACCATAGCAGTCTCCTACTACTGAACGACAACTGACTGATGAAGTTTTGTTAAAACCCCAATTTTATACCCAAGTGTTATAAATATTCAAACAATTAATAAAAAAAAATGATAACAATATAACAAAATACACAGTGCAAATTAAACAGCTCCAAATTGATTATCACAGAAACCTGGTTGAGGATGTATAGGAAGAGATTTTACCCTGATAAAATACACAGTTTTCTAGTCTACGCAGATTTCTCTGACAGCTACATACTTACAACGGTTTGTGCCTGCAAAACTTTTCAAATATTCATTGTATTTTACAGACCGGAAGTCGGTAATGTCACCGGAAGTATTTACAAGTTGCAAGTAGTGGGTGGTGCAGCGCATTTGTTTACTGAGCGGAACTCGACCAAACTTTTTATTGCCCAACTTGAATCATAACTGCTGTACAAATGGGGGCAGAAGTTCCCCTTTTCGCCCACCGCTCCTCAAACATGGTGTTATTAGACGCAATTCACGCTGGGATCTTGGCACGAGTGAACTACATTTACTGACTAGTTCCTTTGATTGTCAAGTGTATTCACGTGTTAGTTTCTGCTTTTTAATAAACAATTAATTCAAGGTTTTACGACCAAGGCACCGCCAAGCTTCGACAGTACTAAAAACACATTTAAAAATAAAAAAAACAATAGGTCTACTTGAAAATATAAGAGATATTATTATCTTTGAAGTATTCAGTTCTTAACACCGAGCGTGGTTTGTGTAGTTTGAAATGAAGGAACTAGAATACCAAATTAATACTCGTGTATAATATACATTAGCTGCATACATAATCACAAATGTTCTAGAAACTCATGTTAAGTGCAACACGAATACAGTCAAATAAATTGATTCTGCTCGTAACTATTTTACAGATCTTTACGATAACACGTATAAAATCAAACTAGTACTAAAATGTGCTCGAAACCTTCAAAGTTAGCTGTTGACATTTAAATTGATTTATGCTTATTGCAGTCAATCGAAGGATATTTTAAAAACATAAAATAAGGATACATATAGTATACCGTAAGATAAATGGGACTTGAATTACGAAAGTATGCCGGCTCTACCTTAATAACTTGTAGTAGGAGCAAACATGTGCAACCCAAACTTACGTAAGAACATAGTTATGCTAGATCAAACAAAAACTTTGTTGTATTTATAAGTTTACTACAAAAATACATAATAATTTTGTTTCTTAAAATGTGAAGTGCAGAAGCAATTTCAAGTTAAAGCACAAATTAAACTCTTAACGAACAAAATTCTTGGTGCGGAACCAAATATTCCCGGCTGATAAATCATAAACTTAAACGTGAAAAGCCAAGTAAAGCCGACTCCAAAGTAACTTCCCCCTTCCCACAAGGGAGGCGAGGATTACCTGGGAATTTACACGTCAAGTTTGTATTTTTACAATCAGCGGACACGAAGGTACAGTTAAGACAGTAACTGGCGCCTGGTATAGTGGATGCGGCCAATTTACATGCTAAACAAATATACTATAGCTTCATCATTATATTTATTTTTATAACTGGAATAGAACCACAAAGAATATTCATGGGATGAATCACTTGATGTATGATAATAATGGTGAGTTGTATCAACAACCAGAATCATTATTTCTGGTTAGTTTCACTCATTGAGTTTGATAAACAATATCTCTGGTAACTTAAAATCGGATTATTCAAACAGCACAAAATAAAGATTACTCTCAAATATCACGGACATGAAAATCCCGGTTTCTATTTTTTGTTCTACAGTTTTATGTACTTTTAAACCTCATTTTGAAAAATCGCCAAAAGTGTTAAGTCTTTCACAAAAAAATACAAACTCAAGGTAGTAGTATTTTTACCAGTTGACTGTATATCCGGATTTACAGTCAACGTTGGTACAATATCCAAGGTAGTACAGGGATGATGTTATGAAACTGTAACGATTATGATAATATAGTTTATCTCTAGTTGTGTGTAGATTTGAAAACAACCCCATATCACCACCTTTCTCCCACCTAGCGAAGGCTCGATTACACAGGGTAATTTGACAAACTACTAGCCGGTTTTTGATTGATCTAGATAGTAAATTATGATGAAATCAAATAAAGTTGTAACGAAAGTGATACTATAGTTTATCACCAGTTTTGACAACAACCCCTTATCACCACCTCTCTCACACGTGGAGAGGGCTCGATTACACAGGGTAAGTTCGACTTTTGAGTATACTATTCAAGTGTTGTAACAGTTGTAGATTAGCCTTGACGACGAAAGCAGAAGAAGAGCAAGCTGATAAGTTTTATATGGGTACGTCCACAATGCACGCTGGTATAAGCAGGAAGTCAGATTCAGATTTTCGGCGCCGAGTGTCTGACTCCGATGGGGTGGCCATAATGCAAGCAGGTTGTAAGCCGTACCTGTCTGTGTTGAGACCTATTTAAGGGATACTTACATATTTTCCCGCAACTTCTTACAGACGACAACAGGCTTTTTTAATGTTCAGAATGAGCTTGAACACCTTTTATTGAATCCTCTTCAATTGAGCACAAGCTCGGAAAAAACGGGGGAAAATATCACAAAACTTGAATTAGCGTGTCCCACTAAGCTAAATAAATTTATTTCCGTGAGTTAAATTGTTTATTTTGTAAAAATGTAATATTATAAACAATTTAATTAAATCAGCAGATAAATTTAAGGTAAAATGTTACTATATATATATTTTTTAAATTATGCACTTTGATGCGCTTATTAATTAATTATTAATTTGCTGGAACGTGTTGAACTTTTGATGGCAATTGGTCGATATCCATGGTTAATGTAATGAACTATTTATACACTCAATAAAAAAACTAAAATTAACAGTCCGATATAGGCAGGTTGTCTGAAACCAGAATGAACAATTCATTCCGGTAAAAATCTGAGTCAGACTACCTGCGCGCAGAAAATCGGCGCGCAGGTGCACTATGGACGCTTACGTTTACTAGCATGGGATGATAAGCGCGCCGAGTCTGACTCTATCGGCGCCGACAGTCTGACTCAGAAAACCAGCGTGCATTGTGGACGTACCCATGGCTAGTTGGCCAGTTGCTTACCTCTGTGACAGGCGAGGACGGCTCTTTCTCCGCGTGCGGCGCGGTGCCGTTCTGTGTAGCTTTGACCACATCACCTTCCTCTAGCCTCTCCAGCTTGCCGTCCTCCACTCCGCCCTCCACCTCACCCTTCTTGGTGGCCGCCGAGATGTCCACCGACCTCTTACTCTGTCTGGCGCCCATCACTTCACTGTCACTGTCCTGTAACAACAAATACCACAGTCAAAACACCGGAGCTACTTTGTGTGCGGTGCTCGGCATTGTGCCGAAAAAATGTGTAGGGTCAGGCACTGCTTAGAAAACAGAAACATATAAAATATATTTCGGAGCTGTGCCGTTCGGAGTTATGCCTTGGTTCCGCTGTGTCGACGTTTAAAGGTACGGCCACATCTGACAAACTGGTGTAGGTTAAAACTGCACATCTGGGGTTAACCACGGATATTGGAACAGAAAACAGCATGGATCATAAACATAACTAGATTGTATCACTGGCTCTAATGTAAATATGTTTTGTGTCATTATTTAAATACAGTTGTTGTTAAAAAGCGATCAAACCAAAGATTAGGGTTATTTGTACAAGATTCGGGCCGGCGGTGACGTCATTTGTTTATGTGTATGCAAACCGTTTTCTGTTCCAATATTCGAGGTCGAACCCCAGCTGTGTGTTTTTCACCTACACCTACAGGACCAAGGTATTTCTTTTACTTTTGAGTACCCATATGTCATATTTTAAAATTGAAGCATATATACACTAACCCCGCGCCAAATTATTTTTACGTCTAAACAGTGCAATGCAGATTAAAGGTCTTAAGTGAGACAACCCCAATGTATCATATTTTTGGTATATTTGATTGCATTTCCAAACTATTCAGATCGCCCACCTTTCATGGCAGCCCTATTATGCAGCGCTGATTGTATGTATTCAGCAGCGTGTTTGTCAATCACCAGGGCATATAGGGATCTCCCGCTTACACGATTTGGAACATTTCAAGTGGGAAGGGTTGAAACCCTTGTTTACATTGCTCCGTCTCATTTCGTCCCGTACCTACCCTAGCCCAGCGCGGTTGTTGTGCAAGGTTTCTATTAATACTTATGATTGAGGTTATGATTTGTTTCGACCGTATAACTCGATATGTATTGAGTCATTTTAAAATAAAAACTAATGTATGTATTGTTTTTTAACTATTAGATTAATTGGTTAAAGTTTTATTGGCATATTTTACACAAAGAAATGCACTGACTTTAGTAAGCTGCGTTGACGTGTGGTATATTTATTCCTACCTCTGAACAGCATTCGCCGAGCAATATGACACTCGGGTGAACATTATAATGGTTGTATAAGTTAGTCGAATACTTTCCCAGATACGGTACAAGGAATCTACAGTATAGCTGAAATAGCAAAAAATTAAGTACTGTATAATGAACGATACTTTGGTAATAATTGGGTGTTTCTCGGAGTTGATGAATTATTTGAGCATTGCCTACTTGAAATCTTGCATTAAAATCTCTATGCTGATCTACCAGCATTGATTATATGCACACGACTACGTTATGCTACTAAGTCAGATAACCGCTAAGAAACACCGCCACGACATTTTTGGCGGGTAATAGTCTGCCCCTGACTCGGGTTTATCGGCGCACTGAACCAAAACAAACAAATTCCTCGGCTATAATTAAATAACCGATAAGTTAGAAAAGCGTGTCACAAACAATGGTTCAAGGAAGAGTGATTACAGGTCACTGAATCACTTCTTAGATAACACTACTGTGTAAATAATACTGAGTAAATACTACATCTGGTCTTACAATGTTTTCCACGACTGATAGCGCAGTTTAGAAGATATTTTAGAAAATTATATAATCATTTCTATTGCAATTATTGTTTCGCTTTAGTATGCACCATATAGAGGGTTTACACAAAGAGTCTGTATGAAAAATTTCACAGGGTTAAATTATTTTTTTGAACTTTAAAACGCTCATTTGAATTCAGAGCATACTGAATAATCTAGAATATTATACTATCTGCCGAGTTATTTTCTGTTTTCCCATCTTGCACGCCATAGAACCATTGATCACATAAATTGACAGCCCCCATAATTTTCTTATGTGTAGTTTTGCAATTGCATATATTACTTTAGGCCTACCCTTTAAACCATGAAACTGCAGTCGACGAATTAACTCGGTGCTGTATTACTAATGACAACTAGTCACTACGATTCTACTACAACATTACACTTGTGTTGTTCAACCTACACTTGCACTTCCTAGAATGCACACTACTACAAAAACCATCACTGATACCGATGTGCTGACTATGCTGACGAGTAATACTACTCAGCATTGTATGATTCGTCCGCCTCGTCAGTGACTTCTGACGTCATATGACTCATAAGTACTTGAACCTAAATATATGCACTGGAAATATCTGACGGTTATGATTCTAGCTAGAAGCACAGAAAACGTACTAGAAGGTTCCATTTAGTGCTTTACACACGTCTGCATTTCTTACAGTACTTGGAAATTTAACACTATTGTAAAATCTCACAATAATTGAAGAAGGGACAGCCATATCCCCTGAAAAAGATGCACTTGGGACTAGCACCCAGCTAATTAACTTCACTGATCAATAGTTTTCCCCATACCAGCCACCATACATAATTTGACTACCAAAAATTGCTTGAACTTCAGTAAAGATAAAACCGTAGATTTAACTTACTGACTTATAAGATTTAAACCTCCGTATAAATTCTTAATGTTGGGATTTTCAATGAGCAGTTTTCTAATGAAAAGTGCCATACATTACAAAACCGACGTGTAAACCTTGCAGTGGCATATTTTCCAAGCGCACGCCGTGCCTGGGACTTGTTGTTGAACAAGCCAAAAAATGAAACAATACTTAAGATACAATCCTTAGAATATTTCCAACAGGTTTCTCCTCAGAACGCCATGAAAATCCTAAATTCTAAAATAATACAATAAACACTCACACAACTCACTAGTATACTGTCCAACTGTCGCTAGCACTACTTCTCTACTGTCCAACTGAGCGTCGTACACTGGACACTGGTCAGATGTCTCATCATGATGATTCACAGAGATAACATTCCGTCCACTGATAACGCGGGTTGTTTCCATACTAAATTACCCCCAACCATCACCATCTCAACATTCCAACCAAGGGCGAACAAGGTTAATGTTAACATTTGCAATTTTTAATTCCCTTTTCTCGCACATCTCTTTTATTTACTGTTTACATTATTGCTATCTTACGATTCTATAATTAATAGACTTCGTATGAGTGACACAGCATCGTAAATTGTCACGTCGTAGCTAGCTATTCAATGAGTTCAATTATTTATAGAACTAAAAATAATAATTTGTAGGAACATTGCAAATAAGCATAATTACAAATTCATTCTTGGGTCTTGAATGGGGATTTGAATTTGGTACAGTACTTTCTTATTGAAGATAGACGATTTGAGCTATTGACTAAGATTAATGAATATGTAGCCTTAATCAAGCAAACTACAACAATTAATGTATTCTCCCTAAGGTTAACGTGGATGCAATGTCCGTCGTTTAGCAATTACAATCTCGGAACCAGTAATATCTTCTTTGTAAGATTCGATTGTTAAAAAAATTGCCTGGATTGTTTTCAATTGAAGCGTGATAATAGGAAATGAACCATTACAACCTCAACCTTTAAAACCACTTTTCCACGGTCATGTGAGTAAACACGTTTATCATACATTTCTTCTAAATCTGTCATTACATTATTTCATTAATTGATTTAACCTGTTTGTTTAAATTATAATGGATTACTATTACTTACAATCGGTGCAATAAACAACGATGTAACACAGCACGGTGGTAACAACCACTAACTAGCCAGCCACTCATTAATTTGCATAATTGCCTTGAGAATAATAATAGTGATGTCAGAACCGTCTTGATGTGAAACTTCACGCCGACGCCCTCTACAAAACACTATCATTCCGGCAGCTAAAAACACACAGGGAGCGGGGACCGAGCTCATTTACTAAGGAGGCATTTAGTCAGAAACACGTAGAGTTTGAATGGAAGAAATTAAAATAATACGAGTTCCTGGGGGTCAAAAATGTCTGTCACAAACACTTCTGTTGATCTACGTTTCTAAAGTGGACTCTCACAACCATCAGTATCAAAGACGACGAGTGACATAAATACAAGGGTAGCTCTAGGCGATCATCATTGCTTTGTAGATATCAAGTCAATCTCTTGGACTGACTGATAAACTAATAGAACACCTGTTGCTCGACATTACTACACTCTCAAATACCAATACTATGAGTGGCACAAGCATTGCTTTGGCAAGATCAATTCCTTGGCGTGACTGATCAACAAATACAACACCTGTTGATCGACGTTACTACAAAGCTCTTTTCTAAATACCAACTGATGACTGACAGGAATAACAAGAGGATTGGCGTGCAGCGGCTAGTTTTGTCTGAGGAATAACAATACACCATACTCATCAAAACGTTTACTAGTACATTTGACTAAAATTCCTGAAACTATTGTTATGTACAAGTATAACACTCATGGCAATTTCATTGTCACATAGAATAAGGAAATTATGAAAATAATTACGTCTATGATATGTATCATCACTGACTCTCCGACTTCTCAAAACTCACAAATCTAATCTAATCTTGCAAAATATTTGCCGAGCTATAAAATCGACTCAAAAACATTTGCTTTCTCTGAGCAATCAATTAGCACCAAGTTTGACCCACTTTGGCTGTACTGCGATCTTGTAAACAGGTTATAGGGTCAACAGAGTACAGCGGACCCCATACAACCTTATCATGTGGAAACATTGATAGCTGATAACAAAGTCCCAAGAAATAGCTGTGACTTAGTTTCGATTTTTTTCCCCAAAGTAAAATGAGGAAACAAGTTCGCTTTTGCTTGAAATCGAAAACACGATTATAGTGATTTTACTACATGATTCATAAGCCAATGTTTGGAGATATTTCGTACAGGAGTCATTTTGAATAGTCTTTTCGGAAATGTCATAAGTTAAAAAATTAATTTTGTAATCTATAAGCTACTTCTTGATGAGACATCGTAGAGTTATTTGATGTTTTCCTCAGAATCAAGTTCGTTAGAAGTGTGGACGCTACTGTTCTTATCAAGCCCATCATTTCGTAGAATACCGG